TGATTAAAAAAGAAGTTAGATAGAGTGCTCAGCTCTAAATGAGGTGTCTATATTATATCCCCCCTTCCCAAGGCTCAGGGATTGGCATGGGAGTGGGAGGGCTTCAGGACTATAACAGCCAGAGGTAATAGACATTTGCCTCGAAACATAATTTGTTGTGCATGGCAGTATCACTATACACATGAACTTACAGTGGCTGTGGCTGTGTACGCACAAGACCTGCATAACATCAAGCCAACTAAAACCCCAGCACTGACAGAGAAGAACTTATGAAGTCCTACTCCAGCTGAGAAGCCACAGATGACTAACCCATGTTCCAGTAGATGGTTCTACACTCATGCACACCCAGGCAGCACTAAGTAGATTCAGTGGAGGGGAAGGTGTTGTAATGAAGTTGGGGGGAGATGGAGAGGAACTGAAGAGAAGGGAATAGAGGATGGATTTGATCAAAGCACATAAGCATAAATGAAATTTTAAATAAGAAAGAAAGTTGTGGTTTGGGTCAGAGTACAGCTAAGTTATAGAATACTTGCCTAGCATGTACTTCTTCCCCCATTAACAAGGCAGGAAATGTTAGCATTTGCCTGCATCAGCTCCTTGAGTCTTGAGGTAGTTAATGTGGTTTGCAATATAGAGGATTCATTTGCTAGACTATTCTGGTGTGTGTGTGAAAAGAGAGAAAGTAGTAACAGAAAGCATGCCTTAATGGTATTGCCCACCTTCCTACAAAATAATAAACTATAATCCCAGTTCAAAACTGATTCATTTGGAGCTACAGAGATGGCTCATCTGTTAAATGTGCTTGCTACTCTTTCGGAAGACCCAAGTTTGATTCCCAGCACCCACATTGGGTAGCTCACAACCATCTGTAACTCCAGCTACAGGGGATCAACAGCCACTCCAAACCTCCTTGGGTATTTACACACATTGATACATAAACACACGCATGCACACACACACACACACACACACACACACACAAAGCTTTACTAAGAATTTTCTCTTTGTAAGAATTTTTTAAGAGTCTTTTTTGTTCATATTTAGAGATTTTTCTCTCACATTAGTCTACATTGACAAGGCAGGAATTTTCTAGAAGTATGATCTAGTAAGAATAAAAATAGTACTTCTTGATCTGTCCTCCCCTTTGCCCTCCAAGAGCAGAAGACAGGGGTAGTCACAGCAAGGAGTGATGGCACTGACCTGAATCTGCTAAACTCCGAAGAGAGAAAGTGTACAGGAAATGACATCAGAGGTCTCAGACAGGACCTGGGTGTGGAGTTAAGAGCAGCAACTCTGCATTAGAGTTCACACCTACTCCATGTACAATGTGCCACATATCTACAAAGGCTGGACAATGCAACAGCCCCGTGAAAACAAGAGCATGCATCACTCCAGAGCTAACCCCCTACCCTGGCCAAAGAGCAGAGCCTGGGTAGTGCGAGGGCATGAGTTTCAAGAATCCCACTACAGTATCCTCGCATTTTACAGTGGTCACAAGAGCAAATTCCAAACTATGGATGGAGGAGGAATAACACTAGAGAGAAGGGAATGTACCGAGTCCCAAGTCCCCAGTGGAAGCCTGGGTGAGGAATGCAAACATCTTCAGGAATGGGGAGGTTCAGAAAGGGTGCCACCCCTCTGACCCTGAGACAGCCCAAACTCCTCTCCATCCCAGTATTTGGGGGAGGAGGAGGAAGGCAGAGAGTGGAGAATCAAATTTTAAAAGGAAAGAGTATTGGAGGGAAGACAAAAGAAGGCAAAGCCAATGGGCTATTTAAACTTCATGACCTCTGTTCTCATCCGCGTTGGGAGAAAGTGCAGTTGGTGGGCCATAGGCAAGAAAGACTCACCAGATCACCTTCCTAGAAAGGTCCAGGAGCAGGCAGGCAGCCACATCTGGGATATAAATAGCCCAGAGAAGCTGAGCTCCACAGTGTTCAGGACCTGAAAGCCCCCAACATAGGAGACACAAGAAACCCCCTGGAGGAGCTTCCTCCTGGCAGCTGCTTAGGACAGCAAATACGAAGCGCCATTACTTTTCCTCTGCTGCCATTGTCAAAGTGTACATCACGGCCTAGGTGTGTCTGTTTAAACCTTGTCTAGATTTAGGGAAGGAAGAAGGGCTGGGTGTGGCAAGGCAGATAAAAGCAGGTGACAATGATCAACGTGTGCATTTTTGTACTTTGGAGAGAGACAGAAAGAGAGAGAGAGAAAGAGAGAGAGAGAAAGAGAATGCACAAAAAAAGAACTGGGCTGACTTCAGTTACCCATCTACATGTCAAAGGAAGCTATAGATGGCTTGAGCCAGCAGAACTTGGGTCCAAACATGGACAAACCACTGAATTCTTCTGGGCCGGTTTCCTCATTTGCAACACAGATAACCACTCTGAGGATTAAATAAATAATATGTTGGAAATTCTTAACCATAAATACCAGGAAAATGCTGTCTTTTAATCTTGTGTGTTAAGTGGGAAAGCATGCTTCAAACTCGAGAGGTTCTGAGAGGCAAGATTGGATCAAAGATCTTCCAAACACAGTCCCCCAAAAGACAACATTCCTCTTCCTCAGTGGTCCCATCTTCCCAGTTAATTTTCTCTCGGTAATGGTCGTGTGCTGGGCAGGGCTGGGGTTTTTCTCCCTTACAGGCTGTCACACTGCAGTGTTTGTTCTGCTTCCTTCCTTTCCAAAGCCTAGCAGATTAGACTGCTGAGTCCCTTCCAGTTTACCAAGACAGACAAGAAAGTGAAAGTAGGGCTACCCAAACCGCTGGTGGTGGAGAGAGGCTCACCAAGAGAAGGTGCGGCACCCAGGTCAAAGTCCTAGCAACCAAGCCCTTAGAGAGGACAGAATAAACACAGTCTTATTGCTTTCTGAGACCCCCAAGACAATAGTGGTCTACTCTGTGGTCTACGTCAAGTTAAATCTGAGCCATTCGGTCTACAACAGGGGCATCGCCCAACTGTGCACCTGCATGGCAACAGCACAGGACATGAAAGATGTGCCATGCTCCAACTGTGTTGTCTGTCTGGTGTCCCAGCACTTTCAGCAAGCATCTGGGAGGAAGTCAGTGAGGCTTGGCTGACCAGCTAACACTTGTCTTCCTGGCCCACCGGCTGTGGGGCTGGGGGCATTTACAAGGCAATCTCTCTGTCTTTGAGATATACTCTACTGTCTCCTTTCCCATACTTGCAGATTCAGTTCATCAGTAGCCAACAACAGAACCGTGTGTGTGTGTGTGTGTGTGTGTGTGTGTGTGTGTGTGTGTGTGTGTGTGTGTTGATTCTGGGGGTTGATTCTGTCCCCCAGTAAAATACTAAGTTGAATAGATAGAGTTAAGCTCACTGGGATGACATGAGGAAGGCTGCAGGCCCCACTTCCTTAGGCAGAACAGAGAAGCAGCAAGCACCATGCAAGGGAAGAGAAAAGAAGGGTTTGCAGTCACCCTCCACCAAAGAGCAGGCTGCTCTCAAATCAATCTCTAGAAATTGCCAGGCATGAGGTAGGTAAGGATCCCACGGTCGGCCAGCTAAAACTCCACTAGGAATACCACAATCTGTAAAAAAGAAGTTTGCAAATATAGACAAAGCACTCTCAGTCTAAAGACAACAAACAGCTAGAGGGAACCCTCATGACTCAGGTTTGATGCTTGCCATTCTTCTGTTTGCTGTCAGGCAAAGCTTTCATTCATTTGCTCAACAAAAGTTACTCTTGCTAGAACCCTGGCTCAGGCAGCACCTAAGGGAAGTAAGACCTGCCATGACGATTATGCTATACACACACACACACACACCCTTCTCTGGTCTCTCCAAATATCAGGGACTTGAGCTTGGTATTCTAGGTGCTCTGCACAGCCAGGGTCCTCCACTAGTCTGCTGGCTCCCAAAAGACTAGGCTGAGATTCCCCATCACCGATCACTTACTTCGTTCTTATTACCCAAAGCAAGTCATTAAATGCAACTAAGTTGAAGATAAAACTTCTACCCTTGCTTAGGTGTTGCTGAAGGCTTTGTCTTCCCCCTCGGAAGGGTGCAGACAACAAAGAACAGAGAAGGGGGGAACGACTTGGAACTTCAGCCCCAACTACAAAGCAAAGTGACCCCAGGAGTCATAACTGGTTCAGACTCCCCCTGCTCCTCCTCTAGTGTTTGTACTCGTCTGAAAACTCTTTTGAGTCCGAACAGAAAAGAGTCACAAACGGGAGATGCTCAAGAAGGAAGGAAGCCTTTAAGGTGAAAGACTCGGGCAGGACTATCCACGGCAGAGGTGAACACGGGTACCCTGGGCATGCCCTGATACTTTTTTCTTCCCACACAACCTGGCCTAATCCCTCCTTTCTTTTTCTTTTTCTCTTTTTCTTTTCCTTTTAAATTTTAACGGCACAGTCTCCGAGGCTGAGCAGAACAGGGAAGCGAGGACGTTGAAGGGGACAGAAAGCAAGCTTCCCCCTCGAAAGGGTTACCAGACCTGCATTTTCCACCAAGTCACCTCCATTGCCAGGAATCCCAGAAGCCCATGGCCGGACCAGACGAAAGGAGGAGTCTCCCCGGGGTAGCATTCTAGGCCCACCAAGTTAAAAAGGAGTGAAAAGGAAAAGGAAGAGGCTCCAGCACCCAACTCGTGCCCGAGGGACTTGCCTGGGATGTTCTCTGCGCTCCTTCCCTACCTGCTGCCCGGGCAGTCGTAGCGGGGCTACTACCCCAGCGCTAGCACCACGGTGGAGTTTCGCCGCTGCAAACGTGAGAAAATGCAGCTCCGCAGGACACCGCCCCCACACGCCCCACCCCACAGCCCGACCCCTGGCGGTGGCGACCTTGGTCACCCTGAAGGCGCCAGTGCACGGGAGGAGGGGCTGCCCTCGCGGCTTTCCTAGGAGCTAGGGAGGTCCCCCGGATCGCGCCACCTCTGGTCGCCGTCCACCACCCGGACTGGCGCCATCAAGCCCGCGCGCTCGCTCCCCGCGGACGGGGCCCTTGCGCCGCGCTCCTCTCCACCCGACTCACCGCGCGGTGCGCAGCAAGGGTCGCATCGGGTCCCAGGGCACTGCGTCTCAGGGCTGCGGCTCCCCGCCTGTCCAGCCGCGCTCTTTTCCTCTACCCTCCGCCGTCCTCCAGGGCCGTCTCTTGAGTCTTTTTTCCGGGTTAATTACGTTTCGCATTAAAGTAAAACCCAGCCCCGGATGTGAGTACAATGCTCCGCGGGCCTCCGGGGGAGGAGAGGGGTGCGGGGACCGCGCGGGGACGGCGGAGGGGGTGGTGGGTGGAGGGGGGATGTGGCCGGGCCGCAGCAGGTGTCCGCGTTGGAGTGCGAGACCTACACTTCACGAGCCTACTCCGCAGAGCGCATCCCGCTCAGCCGGTGATAGCCCGGGAGAGCGAGGGGGCGTTGGGTTTAGGGGAGGAGAGAGGAGTGCATCTCCCTGAGATCTGCAGTGCACCCCAAGATACCAGTAGGCCGCTGGCTCTCTGACCCGGCTTGCCCGTCCCTTCTCGGAGCACGGAGCTCAGTGGGAAACAGAAGCCTGGATTTGATAGGTTTGGCCTAGGGTGACCGGACAGAAGTGCTTCCTCGCCCTGCAGCCACACAGCAACCCATAGGTATCAATCCCGTGCCGGATGAGGAAACCGAGACTCTAACACATTAGGTAACATGCTCTGGGTCCCCAGTCAATAGAGGGCAGGTCTGTCCGGTCTGACACAGGCCTTCCTCGTGGGGACATAGACATTTAAATAGAAGTAAAGTCAGGCGAACAACATCCGAAACCTAAATATAGTGGATTTGCCCAGGGACTGAGCACCGAGAGATGCGGCATCTGGGGGATGCTGAAGTCAGCCCCGCGGGTCCAAAGAGTCCTCGGAGGGAGCCCCGTGAAACTCGCCCCCGAAGGCTCTGCTCTGCAGGACCAGGCCTGGATTCGCGGGTGAGGAGGAAAGGCCAGCTCACAGCAGAGCAGTGAAGGGCAAAGACAGCCTGTACCCAAACCTAGGGGCCGAGGGCCACAGCCAGGTGAGCCGACAGGAAGGCGGGACAGTCCGCAGCACACGCCCCGAAAGCTCCAGTGATGAAACCGCAGGCGCTTCCTCTTCTATTTTGATTGCCAAAGCGAAAATGGGCCGCCCAGTTCGCTCAGGTGTGAAAAAAAGACGTTTGCTTTAGAACAGTTTGCTCCAAATGAGGAAGGAAAAGACACAAGATTGGGGGAGCCATTTCCCTTTAAATAAACATCAACGTCAATTTTGCGTTCGTTCCTAGAGTCTGTTGCCCTGCACTTGGGCTACAGGCAGCCTAACCCCCATTCTGGGTAAATCCCAGCCGGTTCCCATCCCCTAGGCAGCTGGTGACCCGTGACTCGCTCGGTGCCTCAGTTTCTACATCTGGGTCAGTGAGTCAAATCTTGCAAATTATTTCTTTCCAACACAAAGGCGCTGTGTGTGTGTGTGTGTGTGTGTGTGTGTGTGTGTGTGTGTGTGTGTTTAACGAAATGGTCATTTTTACCGTAAAAAGGAGCATAATTCTTGGGGGAGGAGGGGAATTCATCCTGGAAACCATCAACTCCGGTCGGATTTGCCGAATGAGTGCTGTCTGAAAATCCCACTGGGACCATAGTTTAGCAGTAAAGCGGTGCAAGCATCAGATTTCATGGTATGGTTCCTATTAAAACCCATAAAACTGCTCCTGTGGGGACTGCCTGGCTCACCCAGTCACACACCCACCAGTGTTTCTGAACACTACTGTATTGGCTGCCTGGGAGACAGAGAAGCTGAAGGCTTCAATTTCCTGCATAGACAAGGTGGGAACCTGTACCTTTCTGGATGGCAGGTGAAACTGGCCTTCAACATCCCAGAGAGCCAGAAGAGCCTCTGTGACAGGTGTTCTCGTGGGCTGAGCTTTGAATGAGCCTAAGCAGTAGTTTAGGGTCAGCTTTACTCGGGGCAGAGGAGGAGGATGGCAAGAGTGGGAGCTGAGGAAAAGTCTGTGCTTCGCTGAGAACCCCATTACTGCCCCTCCGACTCTGGTATGAACTAGATACTTTCTGCACTTAATCCAGCCGATTCTATCATCCTGGTTTCCCAGTCTTCTCAAATGGCCCCTTCAACAACAAGCACCACCGAGCAGGTCTGAAACTCAACTTGCTATATTCTGTTTCTGTCTGCATCTATCTGTCTCATAAAATACATATACCAGAAATTACACCATTGTAACCAATGTAAAGTACACAGGTAGCAACATTCAGTGGCATATTGTACACTTGTCACCACTGTGCAGTTCCAGACAATTTTCATAATCACTAAAGGTGACCTCGAAGTGTTCTCTCCTCCCTTCTTCCAGCCTTGAGTAATCACTATGTTGCTTTCCATCAAGCCTACACACATGGCACATTTCAATGAGAGAAGTCACATGACAGTGGCTTTTGTATCTAGCTTCTCACATGCTTTCTTGATAAACTCATTTTGAAATATTTTCAGCGTCTGGCTTGATGCATTAACTTTGTCTCCCTGCAATATACCAACAATGTGAGTTTTATCTATAGCAAAAGGAAGGACATCGAAGACAAACTTTTACATAAACTATTTTAGTCACCTCAATGAATCAGAGCAACAACATAAAGTTCCAAGGTATGTTTAAGGCTTTGTATCTAGGTAGTGGTTTCAGTCGACTCCAGAACACAGAGCTAAACTACTGCTAGAATCTCCCAGCAGAGAAACTTCCCCTGAAAATGGGGATATCTAGTGAGGAACTAAGAATCTAAGCAGCCTGGTGTCTAACACAGCTATTTCTTCATGGACTTTCTATTTCCAAAGTTGGTGAGCCAGAGGAGCTAATGACATTGAATGGTGAGCCAGTGTTCCCTCTTGGGAACTGTGTTGTTCTTTGCCTTCAGAGGTCCCTACCATTAAGGCTCTGAGCTGCAGCTGAGGCCACTTGATGACACCAAAGTCAACTCACTTGGCCCACTTCAAAGCAGTTTGTTTTGCACAGAGATAAACTGCTTCTGGGCCACGTAATGTACCTCCCAGATTCAGAGACCATTTTTCTAGGTAGTTTTTTTGTTTTTAAATAGTAAAGTGCCATAAAGTAATTGTACCATCCAATTCTAAGAATACCTAAGCTTCTGCTACTCTGCTCAGTTTTGGGTTTTGTTTTTTTGTTTGTTTGTTTTTGAACCAGTTATTATTCTTCCCATATACATTCCATTTTCTTCTTTTCTAGGGATGTACTGTTAACTGCTTTACATATACTCCCAGATTCAAGTCTTGCAATGATGTTGAGTGCCAGGAACCATTATTTCCCTATTTTGTGTTGAAGAAATGAGTTCTACAGTGCAAAGATGAAGCCTGGGTTCAGAGCTCAGCAGCCTCATGCCAAGGTTTGCCCTCCTTCTCCTAAGCTATACTGGCATGTGATGGGCCCTATAAGGGCCTCGGGACAGAATGCAAAGCAGAACATGTCCTAAAGGAAGTTATGGCTACATAAATACAGAAATTTTTATATACAAATGTGTCTATGTGCATATTCACTGAAGTTGTGTTCCCTGCGTTAAGAACTGGAAATCATTTAAGGGGTAGGACAGGTCAACACTGGTTCATGAATACATTCTTATACTGTGCCCAAACCAAGGAAGAATGTAGTTGGGTTGGAAGCATTAATCAATGATACAGCATACGCTAAGTAAGGATCAGGTGGACCCAGGTTTCAGTTCAGAAGAGCAAAGGAAGAGCAAAAGGGAGAGGGGAAGAGAGGGAGAGAGGGAGGGAAAAAGAAGAAATCATATTTTAAAACACTACAGAGTTGTACATATAATACAAAATATAAACATGAATAATTATTCTTAATTTTAAAATTTATTTTTATTTTATGATCATTGGTGTTTTGCCTGCATGTATGTATGTGAGAGTGTTGGAACTTGGAGTTTCAGACAGTTGTTTGTTGGCATGTGGGTGCTGAGACTTGAACCTGGGTTCTATGAAAGATCAGTCAGCACTTAACTGCTGAGCCATCTCTCCAGCCCTTTTTCTGAACTCTTAATCACAGTTCTCTTTGAGCAAGCAGAGGGCTATAATGGTGGATTTCACTTCTAAGATATATATTCTACAGTGTTTTTAGGGTAATGTGTGTTCACCTGCGTGTGTGTGTGTGTGTGTGTGTGTGTGTGTGTGTGTGAGAGAGAGAGAGAGGGGGGGGTGGAAGGTGGGAGAGAGGGAGAGAGAGCAGAGATTACTCAAGTATCTTGATCATTCTTTACCTCTCATTTACTGGGGCACCATCTCTCACTGAATCCCAAGTTTGCTGACTCAGCTAATCTAAATAAACCAGCTTGCCCCAGGAATTTGTCTCTACTTCCCGTGTGCACTGGTTCATTGATAGGTCACAGTGCCTACCCAGCTCTTATGGGGGTCCTGGAGAGCCAAACACCAGTCCTCATACTTGGGCAGCAAACACTGTATTCACTGAGCTACCTCTAGCCCATGCTTACCTTTTTTAGTTTTTGCAAAAGGGCATGTGTGTATTTAGTTATCAAAAGGACAATTATGATTTAAGCTTTAATAAAAATTGGGGCTGGAGATATGGCTTATTGGCTAGGAGCACTGACTGCTCATTTCCTAGAGTACTTGGATTCAATTCCTAACATTCACATTATAACTTCTGCTAACTCCAGTACCAGAGATCTGACACCCTCGCACAGACATACAAACAGGTAAAATAAACACACATAATTTTTAAAAAATAAATGTGTTAATACAATTTAAAAATTCTATAAGGTGGAAAATCACACTGTAGTCCTCGGAGTCACCTCTGTGAGTAGGGAGGGAATATGATGGGTAAAGAGTTAGTATAACAGACCAAGACACACAGAGCAGGGGAGATAAAGAGCCAGCTGTGGATGGGGATACTAAGGAACAGGACCTTGAGAAAACCCTGATGGATGGCATGTGTAAAGGTAAAGAGAAAAAGAAAGGGATTTGGGACCAAGAGGAGGATTTGGGATAAAAAAAAATGATCAAGTTCAGACTGAGGAGATGGCTTGGTTGGTAAAGTCCTTGCAAGCTTGAGAACCTGAGTTAGTAAAGCCGGACAGAACACCGTGTGCCTCTAATCCCAGCCCTGGGGATTCAGAAACAGGAGGATCCCTGAGGCTTATTGGCCCACAGTCTAACTGAATCAGTAAACCCCATGTTCCCTAAGAGACTCTTTAAGGGAGAAAAGGGGTATGTGTGTGAAAATTGATTAAGAAAGATGTGTGACATCAGCCTGTGGCCTCCACACACAAATGCTCATATGTTCATGCACACACATG